CATGTAGCTTTGTATACAGTTGAAAAACCACCTTCACCTATCTTTTTAATGTCTTTTAATTTGTCATAAGGAATCCATTCAAGATAATCAGCATTATTATATCTTGTTGCTTCAAGTTGTGTACTTTTTATTAATTCATCAATGGTTTTGTTGTCACTGCTCCATCCTTGAGTTAATAATTGTGGATCACAAGATTGACACCATGAATAATCAGTGTTGTATCTATAACAAGTTGGACATTTACCATATCTTTCTTCCCGTTTGTGTGAATATTCATCATCATTATTATATAATGTAGATAATAATATTTCTATTTCAGAAATGATAGATCCATTTGATTAGAAAAATAATTATTATAGGTATATTAATATAGTCAATTTTAATATTGATATTAATATTGAACTTAAAATTAATCAATAATCAATAACTAATTATTACCATTATTATTTCCAATGATTGTGACTTTATTAGAGTTCACAGGCTGAGGAAGATTTGTAAAATTCAATAATCTGCTAGTATAAATAGCTTTTGGATGTACAGTTGCTGTAATTGTTGAAGAAGGATCATATTCAATATTATCCATTTCATCAAATGTTTTTCTAGCTAAATGATCAATAATTTTTCCAATTTTATCAGCATTCGGACGTTTATTTGGATCAGCATCCATACATTTGTAGGCTAATTCAATATAAAGTTTTGGTGTGTTTATTGAGAAGCTAGGTCTTACTCCTTCACATATTTTGAATGCAAGGTAACTATTATGTGAAACATTACTAAAAGGTTGTTGACCTGTTGAGATTACTGACATCAATGCTCCAAAACTATATATATCTGATTCCAATGTATAAGGTTTATTATTTAATATCTCTGGTGCTAAGTATGGTAATACTCCATATACATTATTTTCATTTGATTTTAAAATTTGATCAGCTGGAGTAGGTAATCCCAAATCTGCAATAAATGAAAAATTGTCATCTTGAAGAATATTACCACAATGAAGATCATGATGAATGAATTTTTGTTCATGAATCTTTTTTAAACCTTCAATAATATCACAAAGAATTTCTATTTTTTTATGCCATTTTAAACTTTTAAATTCTTTTGTTAAATAATTTAGAAGATTTCCATCTTTCATATATCTCATTACAAATATATAATCTTTTGTAACTGGATCTTGTGTTAATCCATAAATACTGATTATCTGAGGAGCAAATTGGTGGTGAAATTTAACATAATTTTTGAACTAATAAAAATATTTAATTTAACAATTATAGTTAATTATTTATATTTTAATAAAAAAAAAATAATGTAATATTTACCTCAATTAAAAATTCATCAGAAATATTTTGTGAATTATGTAACTTTTTTAATGCAACAATCATATCTTTGCAACATCTTTTATTATGAAATACATCTACATATTTTTTACCATTTATCCATGTAGCTTTGTATACAGTTGCAAAACCACCCTCACCTATCTTTTCAATGTTTTCCAATTTGTCATAAGAAATCCATTCAAGATAATAATTATTATTATTATACTTTGTTGCTGTAAGTTGTGTACTTTTTATTAACTCATCAATGGTTTTGTTGCCACTACTCCATCCCAGAGTTAATAATTGTGGATCACAAGATTGACACCATGAATAATCAGTGTTATATCTATAACAAGTTGGACATTCTCCATAAATTTTTTTTCTTTCGTTTGAATATTCATCATTTGAAAATAATCTCAATAATCTATCTTTTATTTTATACATTTGGATTTAAAAAATTTTTATTGTATCCTTTTACAAATATATAGCAAAAGCCATCAAGCAGCGTTGTCAAATTTATAGTATTTCAATTGGAAATTGGAACATTCCAAATGTAGTTCTAATCAAGGCTTGAAATTACACCAGTTTCTCTGACACTTGAAAAATCCTGTTGAAATTATAGCAGCCGGATTTAAACCAAATTAAATAAGATTGTTATTCCCGTGACTAGTGTGTTACCATTTGCGAAGCAAACGGCTACACGCTAGTAATAATAATAATAATTAAATTAATCACGTCAGGTTGCCAAATTACTAAATTTATGTATGCAGAACATAATAATAAAATTTTTATACATTATATAAATCCTGCTTAAAATTGTTGAAATCCTGATTGGTTTGAGTATAGCCGGTTTTTTCTGGAACAAATTAAAATTAAAATGGGCATAGTAGAAATTTGATTTCATTGGCTAAATTTGCGACGCAATTTGAAGACAATAATTTTATATATTGGGGGAGAAATTTGGGCTTTGAATAGATTCAAATGAATTTAAAGTTGATTCAAGTGTATATATACAGTCAAACCTTGTCACAATGGATGAACGGGACACATAAGAAAATTTTTATTTATTGCTACAATGAATTTTTATATGTGAAGCAAAAATTTTAAAAATCCATTACAACAAGAATTTGATTATAGTCCAACGGTGACAAGGACCGTTATGACAAGGTTCTTAGGTAGTACAAGTAGTTAATATCTATTGTATATTTAATATTAACAATAATAAAACTTTACACTTGTTACAAAATGCTTAATAATCACTTGATGGAATATCAAATGATGAAAATAGTGATTATGCTTCATTTTTCAAACAAAATCAAAATGTAGCAGAACATGACAAGGTCCAGGTATATTTAGAAAATCTAGAGATTTATCTGGTGATGATAGGTGCAAAAATCAGATATAGATCCATTGGATGAAAATAAATGAACAAACAATAGATTTTAAATATCACAAAAAATCTACCAGAATGAATGAAGAACTGTTAAGGCTTTATTAATTGTTATTAAAAAAATAAAATATTCCAAATATTTATTTATTGTTTGCTTTTTTAAGTATTTTATTTACTATTGTCACCAATTAATTTTGGGAGGGTGTATCTTTAAACAATAACTAAGGATCCGAATGAATCAAATCAATTTGAATTTTAGTGTGATTCAATTTGATTTGTTCAGTAGTCAATTCAAATTCAAAAAAAAACTGGATCAAATTCGATTCATGATTTAATTCAAATTGATTTGGATCAAACTGAAACTCGGATTAACTACACATGGTTTAGACCTCTGTTAAAATCATGCACACATATTTTTTCGATTTTTTCCATAGATCAATATTACTAAATTTTCTCAACTAGAATTTACACAAAAAATGAATCGCATTATAAGTAACCTATAAAAATAATAGTTCAAAACCCTAAATACACTATAAATCATATAATCACAAAAAAAAATTAAAAATAATCAATTATGGATTTAGATAAAGAAATTTATGGTCCTTGTACTCCTGAGGAATGGACTGAATATTGCTTGCTGGATGCCGCAAGTTCGTGCAGATGAAACTCCTGGAGAGTGGAAACAACGAATTTGGGATCATTTGATGTATTTTAGAGAAAATGATCTTTTCCCGAGTGAAAGCAAAAAATACCTTGAAGCTAGAAAATTAATACGATTTTGGAGTGATGCGAATGAATTTTGGACAAGTTATGTTCCTGAAATCGGTATAGCAATCTGTTTCTCTTGCAATCAATTGGTATATATCAGACAAAGTACTAAAGTATTGGAAATTATAATCATATAGGAATGGAGAAGCATTGGACTAGTAGTTGTACCGGAAATAAATTCCGTGTTATTAGCTTTGAAGTCATAAAACTTAGACAAAAATCTAAGCGAACATTTGGTGAAAATTTTGCATTACATCGATATGGATTGTGGGAAATCGATGCAACAGAAAAATCCAGCGTGCTAGACATGTTGGGGAAAAGATTCAAGCAGGTATCATCATACAAAGAAAATATATAGAATATTATTATCGCCTTGATGGACTTTGTGCTACAGCGTTATCTAATCATTATAAGATATTATGGAGCATTGGAGAAGAAATGCGCCAGTCTAGCAGTGTACAGACGGGTTGTGAAATAAATATTTATCTATTTATTAATGTATAACTTATTTATCACTTTTATTTATTGGTATCTTTTTTATTTTTCTGGAATATATATTCAAAAATAAATATCACGTTGTAGAACTATTACGACAACAAGGCTATAGAGTAGTTATTTACAGTCAATGGTTTAAAATGCTGGAATGGGCACATAATCCAGAATATTATCTTAATAATGGCTGTAAAAAGTTCGTTAGAACAGAATAGATCAAAATATGTGGTTTTTTTTGTATATATCTACAAATTGGAAGGCACACATGATTTTAATATCTTATTTTTTTTCGTTAAAGGTAGTAATTACTTTGTAGATAAAAACAATATAATTCGGATTGCATATTTGATAATAGTTTTTCATATAATAATAAGCATAATTTTTATAAAAAATAACGTTTCTGAAATGTCGATCACTTTTATGTTTATAAAAACGTATTGGCAAGAAATACACACTTATGCACCAATTGAGAGGATAATTATCACACAACCGACCATTGCAAAAATAACACGCAAGTCACGTGAAAATTTTATTTCACCTTTATTAATAATGGTTACAAAAAATTTCTTATTTAAAAATTCGAAAAGAAAGAGCCACATAAATCTAAATTATCATATCACTACTACTTTTACTACTTTGTCAAATACGTGCATTCTTTGAGTTATTATTTTTTTTCAAGATATCATCTTGTTTTTCTAGCATACGAACAATATAAGAAATTATTTTTTTATGAAAAATTATTTCTGCATCCCACCTTCAAAATCACAGTTATATTGATGAGAGATTTCAACTTTAGGATTTTCTGGAGAACCGATCCAGCGAATGAAAAACCAAGACCCTCCGGTTGTTACAATTCCAAATAGAAGTGGTTGTGATGATTCAAAATTTGTTTGTTCCAGGGTTGGCAAATTGACTGGTCCATTGCCATTAATAAAATACTAAATATGGTTAAAATGTTACACCAATGAACCCAATAGACCATCAATGGACCACACATTTGCCAACCCTGGTTTGTTCTAACTTATGCTTGCCTAATAAACTCTGAAAATATTCATTGATGGTTAGGTCTACCCTAAATACAAAAACGATGAAATTACCTCTGATGCACTATGCAATTGCATAATGTTTTGAGCTATTCCCTTAGTGAAATCTTCCAATTCGGCCTCATTAATCAGCATTACAAAATCATCATGTTTCACTAAATAGTCCACAGGGCCTGTACCCCTTAGATCCATAAAGATTAGCTTCTATGCATAACTCTGCTGAATTGTTTGTAAACTCTTGAATGCGATTAACTCAGGGTTGGCAAATTGACTGGTTCATTGAGAACTGATGGATTTTGAACTGGTCCATTGCCATTAATAAAATACTAAATATGGTTAAAGTGTTACACTAATGGACCTTATGGACCACCAATAGACCATCAATGGACCACACATTTGCCAACTCTGGATTAACTGCCATCTTCATGAAAATATATATATATTCCCAAACAGCTGCTTCATTAACATTGATCTTATTTTTGAATGTTTTTTTGATAACTTCAACAAAGTGTTTCAACTCTTCCTCAGTAATTGAATTGTAATTTGGGAGTTCATCCAAATTAAATGTTTCATCAAATAATCCATTATAATTTTGATGCAAAATATTTTTGAATACATCTTTGATTCCCATTCATTATAAGGTTTTTTATCTATAATTAATTCTGGAATCAGGATATTTATGCCATTTTTCATACCATGTCAAGATAAAAAACATACCTTTAATTTGGACTTTAAGGTTGGGAAGAACACGTACTTCATTTGTTATTCAGTATGTTTTATAAGGTTATTAAAAACTGAAACTTGTTTTTTATCTTTCAAAGGCTTCAAAATAGAGGTCACATGCTTTTGCATTTTCAAATTTTGATAATTTGTGACATTTTGTATTTCTCTTTGCTGCTCCCTGATTTATATGTCACTATGACTGTGGAGAAGGCAAATGAGTACTAGACATTATAGAAAAAATGAATGTATGAAAACATTTTATACTTACTACTTGCTGTGGAAAATGGATATTGAACAATAAGCAGACATAAAGTGGTTGTTTCTATACATGAAGTCAAAACTATTTTGACCATTTGCAGATCTGGTCAAAATAGAGTTGAAATATGATTTTTACTATGTAGTTGCCTCAAGTCAAAACATTTCGACTTTGGGGTTTTAATTTTGACTTCATGTATAGTCATTTCAAGGTCTGCTAACAATGTTCCACCATGGCAAGGTTGCATTCAATCCTTATCAAAGAAAAATTCAATATCCTCCTCTCAAGAACCTTAAATTTTTCATTAAGAATTGGTTTAAGTTCATTTAAGTCAGGAGGTTGCACTGCAAAGTTGCTTGGCTTAACATTAATTTTCATGGAACTTGGTTTTCCCTCTAGAAGAAACCACATTGATATTAAAGGATTTAAGGTGATGTTATCAGCTCTAATCATACTTATAAATGTTAATTATTGAACCAATCAATCAATGGTTTTAAAAAAAATTTTAAAATTAAGAACCGAAACCTGCATAATAGTGTATATTTATAATATGTAATAATTTGTGGGACCTCTTAAACCACCATTTACTGTGCTCAGCCAAATTTTGAAAATGTGTCAAATTTTCAATCCATCTACAGTGTGTTGCGAAAAAAATGGCACCTGCATTCTAACTAAAGAAGTAATAAAAATCATGTAATAAAAATTATATCAAATGATCAGACAATCTTGAATTATCACATATAGAAATTTTGAAATGCATTATTATGTAGGATTATTATATTAAATTTCTTTTTCCAAAAATAATTGAATTTACTTTATTTTAATTGATAAAATTCTAAAAAATTTGGTAGCATGGGATTTTATATAAATAATTTCTAGAACTTGAGCTGCAAAATGGCTGTATTTTTTTTTTGTTATTATTATGTACGTTTTTGTTTAATTGTTACCTTTGAGATGTCTAATACTTTTTGGTGGAAGTCAAAAAATTTAGTGACATCTAAAAAAAAAGATGCGAATCAACTTTACAAAAAATGGTAATAGTAATTCATAACAAAATTTTTTTATTTAACAAACTATTCTATAGGCTTTTAAATGAATGTAATTTTATTCTTCATCAGTGTCATTTTTTTCGCAACACACTGTATATATATATAGGAATAACCCCTACATATCATTCAAAAAGAATAGAAAATATATTTCCACAGATGTATTGCTCCAAAAAAAATATTGATATTAAAAAATTAATATGTTAAAGACAAAAAAAACAATGTTAGTATTGATAGCTAGTCCCAGTTGTTCTGGTGAAACAAATCTTGTAGAAAAAGTAGAGAAATACAACAAAGGAAAGACAGTCTCATTTAAAGGTCATTTTTATCTATCAGAATATGTTCTATCATCCATTCCACAGACAAACTTCCTAAGACAAATTATGAAGATTTTACTCGAGTCTGTTTGCCAAACCGGATGGTGTATAAAGGAACTTCTTGCAGGAAAAAATACTCAAGTTCCTCATCATAGATTAAACATGACACAGTGACTGACTTATATTCAGCACTGTGCCAACAAAACATGGATCTCGTCAAACCAAATTTTGAGTCAGAGTCCATAAAATTTTTAGGGATCCTCCTCATAATGTTTACTTTGCCCCAAATTATATAACGCGTTTTTTTTTAATTAATTAATATTAATATAATTATAATGTCAGTAAGAAAACCTTTAATACTACATTACCTATACTCAAATATTAGAATTCAAATAGTAACAACAAGATCAACTATAAAAAAAAATATTAGTATAATTAACAACAATAATAAAATGCATTTATTTAAATTTTATAATGTTCATGATTATAATGGTGATAATAATAAGGTAAAAAAACAATCAAAACTTTCATTTTTTTCTAATAATTTGATTGAATTAGTAAAATTTTTTTTGGATTTTTTAAAGAGATTATTTCATTCTCCAGGTAATTTATTTTAAATTATTATTATATATCTAATGTATATGCGCTAACAATTATACAATATATAAAAATATATAAATCTTAGTTACCGTTTACAAAGATTATTATAGAATTCTCGGATTACAAAAAAATGTTAATAAATCAGATATTAAAAAAGCATATTATATGGTATGTTAAATATACAAGTACACAATTATTAGCAACAATCAATCAGCCAACAAGCTAGTCAATAAACCAACTCATTGGCTTAAATTTATTTAATTTAGCTTGCAAAAAAGAATCACCCTGACACTAATAAAGATCCAACGGCAAAAGAACTGTTTGTAACGATTCAAGAGGCTTATGATGTAATTTATAATCAATAACATCATCATTATCTACAACAACGTCATATATTGTTTTAGAAGAATATATTTATATATGTAGTCAATTAATAATAATTTAGGTGTTAAGTGACGATCAAAAACGTATACAATATGATCAATTGGGTGTATTATATAATGGTATTTAAAGAATTTGTATTATTATATTATTAACACAATTATTAAAATTATTATTGGTTGTTGTTTAAAGAAAAAAGATCCCCGAGTAGTGGTGTTAGATTTAATGTCGAAAATATTGGTGGATTTTCCGGTGGATATGACGAAGAAAACTTTAATAATATATTTGGAGAAAGATTAGCTGGTTCAAAAATTAATACGGGTTTTAAATTCGGCCAGCCCTATTCAAAAGGAGTTGATGTCGAAGTAAATAAATAATATTCATTTATCATCAACTATAGTTCTTAAATTTAAAGTTATTTATTATTAAATATTTATCAATTTAGGTTACTTTAGATATATCTTTTTTGGAATCGGTTAGAGGAGTTAAAAAAATGATCAATGCAGCAAGGACAGTGAATTGTAAATCATGTAGAGGTTTTGGTACTAAAAATCGTAAAAGACCTGAACTATGTATAGCATGTAAAGGATCAGGTATACGTTATATTTCTGTATCGTCGGGAATTCATAATCAAGAACCATGTGCTAATTGTAATGGCAAAGGCACAAAAATATCCGATATAAACAAATGTCCAGATTGTTCTGGTAAAGGTCATTTAAAAGAGAAAAAACTTGTGGCTGTTAATATTCCATCAGGTAATCTTATCACTAAAAAAAACAAACGTTATGGATTATTTAAATATACATGTATGTAATTTGATTAATTAATTAATAGGTGTTGAGAGTGGCACAAAAATTAAATTAGTTGGAAATGGTGATGGTGTCCCACCAGGCGATTTATATGTAAAATTAGGTATTATTGAAGATGATACATTTAAAAGACAGGGTGCAAATATTATAATAGCTAAAGATATATCATTACGTCAAGCAATTATGGGTGGTAATGTTACAGTGCCTACAATATATGGTGATATTGAAATAAATATACCAGAGGGATCCCAACCTAATCAAAAAATAGTAATGAAAGAATATGGAATGAAAATTGGTAATTTCAGAGGTGATCAGCTCGTAATATTAAAAGTGAAAATACCAAAGTAAGCTAAAGTTATTGAAATTGTAATTATGATTATAATTATTAAATGTTATTGATTACTATTAATAAATCCTCCCGCCCTGTCTTCCTTTTTTTGTAGAAACATTACAGCAAAACAAAAGCAATTACTTAGAAAACTTGTTGAAGCAGATGAAGAAAATTTGTGAAATAATAGTAATTTTTAAAAAAGTAGACACTACTTGATGATTATAAAATTTCAAATATTATTATTTTTCAATATACAAATTTATTTACAAACATATTTATTATCTTTAGCATATTATTTTGTAAATGTTTATTGTTAATCATTGATCCAACAAAGATAAATCAAATTTAATGAATTGGGTAGAGAACAATATATGTATATATATTAGCGACAATTGGATTAATTGCTCATAATACTTTTGCTGTGCATGTCTATCTAATTTATTTTAAGAATGGCATTTGCGGAATTTAGGAGGTAAAGATGATTTTATATGAAGAGTTATGACCATTTATAGAGCAAAAAATTATGAAACTGAATAAACAAACATCAGTTGAAAATCATTTAATGGTATAGAAAACTTAATATTATGGAAATTAAACCATTGTGAAGATATAAATAACTACCAGTAATGTAACTGATATTATTATTAATGTTATTTTTCAATTGTAAAACATTTCTTTTTGTTGATACAATATATAAATTAAATAAATTAAATATTAAACTATTAAGTA